GAAATTACCACAGCAATTAGTTAACTAATGGAATCAACAGTAAGCAGACAAAAAAGTTGTGACCTTGTACGTATACAGTCTGCCACAGACAATTAGCCTTCAGATCTGGCCTTGCTAGTCATAAAATTCTCAGCAGTAGGAACTATGGTAAGTGACAGCCATGCACCACCTCAAAGAAATGTCCAAGCACATAGGCTGAATACAAGCATACTGTTAGCCGGGCGTGGTGGCGCATGCCTTTAATCCCAGCACTCAGGAGGCAGGGGCTGGTGGATCTCTGTGAGGTCCAGGCCAGACTGGTCTACATAGTGAGTTCCAGGACAGTTGGGGCTACAGGGAGACCCAGTCTCAAAAAGACCACCCCCCCCAAAAAAAACCAACCAGGCATACTGTGTAAACTCCTTTAGACCTTAGTAACCGCATCTAAGTTAAAGAAAATGAACTAAATCAGGCAATATTCAATTTCTTTCAGGTCCATATAAATGAAATTGCCCACTTACTGCTTTAAACCCAACATCAAAACATTTAATTCTAAAGTACTCAGGCTTTTAATCACTTTCTTTTCTACCTGCAATGGTCCATAGTCCAGTATAGTATAATTTCTATATTAACAGCTAAAACAATTGCTAACATTTATATATTTTAAACTGTTTATTTCCAATAAATTTTAAATTAATATATTCAAAAATCCGTAATATTTTCAACTAAACATGTTTGATGGCAAATCTTGGTCTTCATCAACTTTTAAACTAGCTTTGTGTATTCAGGTATTTACTATCATAAATGGAAAATTTTCTTCCCAATTATTCAAGCCCCAAACCAGTGATCTCTTCTCCCTATTAAACTCTACATTCTGTCATCAATATGCCTTATATGGTCTATATACTGGCAAAAAGAACTAGCATGCTTTGAGATAATCTCCAGGAAAACAACAAGATTACAATGAATAATTAAAGCCTAGTGGAATTACTCAGGTAATGAGAATTAGCAGCACCAATGTCAGGCAGTAGGTAGAAGCCAAGGGGAGGCTTCAAATTCTGGTCTTACTCTTTTCCTTTGAGGTACAGAATAAAAAGAGATTTTGAGATCTATATTGCACAATTCCACTGTGCAGAATAGACACGAATTGTAGGTGAGGTAGAATCAAGAAAAAGATACCCTAGTAAAAACTCAACTTTTGTGTTGGAATTCCAAAGATGTTAGAAATGTGATAGCTCAGTGATAGAGAACACTGACTGCTCTTGCAGAGGACCCTGGATCAATTCTCAGCACCCACATGGTGGCTAACAAACAACTGTAACAATTCTAGGGAATCTAACTCCCTCTTCTGACCTCCATAGTTATTGCATGACACAAGTCCACTTACATAAACACAGAGAATACACTCATACACATAAACTAAAAATACATAACAAATATATATATATATATATATAAAAATTTTTTTTTTGGTCTTTTTGAGACAGGGTCTCCCTGTAGCCTTAGCTGGCCTGGATTCACTATGGAGACCAGGCTGGCCTTGAACTCAGAGAGATTCCCCTGCCTCTGTCTCCTGAGTGCTGGGATTAAAGGTGTGGGCCACTACGCCCGGCCTAACATACTTTTTTAAAAGTAGAAGCAATACAGTGGCACACCATAATTGGTACAAAATTTCTAAGGTCTAGGTTTGGTATTCTCTTTTCTATGTTGGGTGTCAAAGACTTTCAGGACAACCAAAAATGTGTGAGGAGTTACAGAATTTATTCTAGTGGGGTCTGAGTTGGAAGAGAAAGGCACATTATTCAAATCAGCATGACAGTTACTATATTTTGACAGTCACCAGGGAATGAAGTTTCCTTAGTTATCTTAACAAAACTCAGTTTGGAGGACATTGAAAAGGAGTTTTTTTTTTTTTTTTTTTAGAGGTGGAGGTGGAGGTACAGAGGGAGAGGGAGAGAACAAAAATACATGAATGGAATTTTTTTCAGGCTAAAAAGATTCTGCAAAGCAAACAGTCTAGAGCAAAGAAATATCCTTAGAATGGGAGAAAATACACGCAAACTGTGTATTTGGTAGGGGGCTATTATCCAGAATACATAAGGAATTCCAAAAATTAAACACCAAAAAATTAGAACAATTAAAAAATAGCCAACAGAGGTGGGACTATCTAGTACACAACTATAATTTCAGCAGGTAGGAGGTGGAGGCAGGAGTCTCTCACATTGAAAGCCAGACTGGGCTACACAAGAGATCTTGCCTCAGTGAGTAGGGAAAAGATAATTGACTTAAATAGATGTTTTTCAAAAAAAGATAACAAATAGCAGCTATATGAAAAAATGCTCAATACCATTAATTAGGGAAATGAAAATCAACTTACAATGAGCTCGCTCCAGTAAGAATAGCTATGCGCAAAAAGACCAAAGACAAGAACATGGAAAAAAGAGAACCATGCATACTGTTGGTTGAACAAAAATCAATATAGCCAGTATGCAACTCAGTATATAGGCCTTGTTTTATTTTTTTGGACTTTTTTTGGTCTTTTTGAGACTGGGTCTCCCTACAGTCCCAGCTGTCCTGGAACTCACTATGTAGACCAGGCTGGTCTCGAACTCTCAGAGATCAACCTGCCTCTGCCTCTGCCTCCCAAGTGCTAGGATTAAAGGCATGCACCACCACACCCGGCCCTAGGTCTATTTTTATTTATTTTATTTATTTGGTATTTTTGAGACAGGGTCTTCCTGTAGCTCCAGCTGGTGTGGAACTCAAAATGTAAACCAGGCTAGTCTACAACTCCCAGAGATCCGCCTGCCTCTGCCCCAAGTGCTGGAATTAAAGGTGTGTGCCACCAAATTGGGCTCCTAGGCCTATTTTTAAAACTTTAATAGATCGTATGCTCTAACAATCCGTTACTGAGTATAGAGACAAAGGCAATGAAATCTGTATGTCACAGAGACATCTGCATTCCTATGTTTACTGCACTACTATTTGCAACAGCCAAGAAACAGAAACAACTTAGGCAACCAGCAACCAGTGAATGGGTAAAGAAAACGAGGTACCTGCACAGAATGAAATACCATCCATGTACTGGAAAAAAAAATTCATTTTGGACAATATGGATGGAACTGGAACTCATTATGTTAAGTGAAATAGGACAAGAACAGAAAGACAAGTATTACATTATGTAACTAATATGCAGAATATAAAAAAACTCATCTCAGCTGGGTGTGGTGGTGCACGCCTTTAATCCCAGCACTTGGGAGGCAGAGGCAGGCAGGTGTCTGTGAGTTCAAGGCCAGCCTGGTCTACATAGAGAGTTCCAGGACAGCTGGGGTTACAGGGAGACCTGTCTCAAAAAGACCAAAAAAAAAAAAAAAAAAAAAACCCACAAACCTCATCTCATACAAGTTAAGCACAGAATGATAGTTTCAAAAGGTTGGGGAAATTAGTGAGAGAAAAGCCTTGAGGAAACTTGATTGATGGATTAAGTTAGATAGGAGGAAAATGTTCTCATATCCTGTTTTTCAGTAGAGTAACTGAAGATAACATACTATATACACCTAGAAAAAAGAATTTTAAATGTTTTCATCATAAAGAAATACAGTTGAGGCTGTAGCTCAAAGGTAGAACACTTACCTAGCACAAGCAAGGCCCCAGCACTGCCACACCCCCCCAAAAAAAAGGTGGGAGGGAGAGAGGGGACAAAAAAAGGAAGGGAAAGGAGGGAAGTCTGAAGAGATATTTTTAATCTGACTGAAACATTACATGACATACTCATGTATTAAAGTATCAATAGCATCCATTCATATGCACTTTTTACATTTGCCATGTATCCATTAAAAATAAATTTAATGTACAAACTCATTCATATAATGAAGTTTCTCTTTTGTCTCTCAAATCAAAGAAATTGCAGGTTAATTCTACAATTAGAATATACATACCATTTACAAGTCTATTGGGGAGGGAGAAGACACTGGGACTAGCCTCCAACAACAAGCAAACCAAAGCAGATTTACAACAGCAATCCAAAAAAAAAAAAAAACCCCAAACAGCAACAAAAACACCTGGCTTACTTGAATATGCATAAGTAGTCCTTACATGAAAAGTGGCCTGTTGTAAACCAATCCATTAAAACATTTTTAAAGATTTTTTTTTTTCTTTTTAGTTTGCCTGTTTGTATGTATATGCACCACATGCATGCTTATTGCCAGAGGCTGCCTGGTGTCAATCACCTAGAAGTGGAATTACAGGAGGCTCTTAGCTGCCATGCAAGTGCTGGAGACCAAATCCCAGTACTCACTACAACAGCAGTCAGGGCTCATAACTGCTGGGCCATCCCTCCAGTCCTTTATTGTTTGTTTCCTTGTTTCCACTTACAAAACCCTAACTGTTCTGTCATGTCCAGCTTTAACATTTAATTATATTTTATGTTTATATTTTACAGAATGAAGTAATGTTCAATTCTAGAATCCTATGTAAAAGCCAATTAGATCTTTTAACTTGTAGTAATGTCTGGAAAACTTAAATGTTCTTTAATTGGATAAATGAGGCAAATTTTTAATTTCTCTATCAGATTGACTTAGTAACTTTAGGATGTTTTATTAAACCATCCCGTAGGAGGAAGCATAAAGTAAATGATATAAAAAATGTAAAAGTTAAGAAAGTGACCTCAAATCAACAGATGTGAAGAGATACTTCTGTTTCCTATGTTAATTTTTGTTTGCTGCTTCCTGTTGTAAAAGAAAAACATCTACTTAAAAACTAATTTATGGTCATGTTATAAAATTTAGATAGCAAGAAAAGTTGAAGAGCCAGCATGATGAGATGCTCCCTTGTAGCCCCAGTTACTTGGGAGGCTGAAAGATCACTTGGGCTCATGAGTGTGAGACCAGTTTGAGCAACATAGAGACCCTGTCCCAAATAAATTAGTTAGCTAATTTTTAAGTTCAAGAAAATAAAAAATTATCTGAAACACTTATACTCAGGAGATACTCATTCTGTGTCAATCTTTAAATATTACATACCTGGCTTTTTCCTTTCAACATCAAAAGATTAGTTACTTTGCCAAATGGTAGACCTAATGATATGACCTCTGCTTCGGTGACATCACATGGAATTTTGCGAAGATGGAGGACACGGGAAGGCGAACAGGGAGGTCTATCTCCTTTAAATTTCTTGTTGTCATTCCCATTAGCTAAAAAACATAAGATTTTTTTTTTATTACCAAAACTAATTTGGATTGACACACTATATTAACTGTATTGTCACACTTGACCTCTTAAGAGTCTCTGGATTTGAAATTCATGGAACTATGGGTACTGACAAAGGGAATGACAAGAGTGGGAAATGAAACCAATCACCTCTTAATGAACCTTTTTAGCTTTTCACTGTGGCCATTAAATCTTTTAAATTTAAGCATGACTTTTAACTTGAAGATAAAGTACTAGGGTAAACATATTATATTGTTTTACATATAGTCATGAATCACCTTCATTTGAAGTACTCTCTATACAACAGCATCTTTTCTACATTTCAATACGTAACTATATATAATTACCACATCACCACAACTGCCTACATTACTGAAGTTTAGTGACACTCTGAACAGGTTTGGAGGCTGGGAAAACAGACTAAACCACACATCCCATATAGTCCCAACTGTGTAGAAAATAAACTATACTACCTAGGTCTGTAATAAGTACTCCATGATGCTCCCTTACCAAACTGCTTCCAATGCATTTTCAGAAACATCCCAATCACTAATTGAGGTATTGTACCTCTGAATACTCAACTTTTTATTATGAATATTCAGAATGTCTTTAATGTATTTTTAAGGATCCTTTTTCTAATTTATTCTACTGCTAAATAAATAAAATTAAAACAATACATTTTAGGAATGACTATGAAAGAAATTAGTATCTCTCAAATCTAAGGAGATCTGGATATAAGCTATGTTTGTAAAAATTTAGTTTCTTAGACATGATAAACTTAATCTATTTTATAAGCTAAAGTGTCCATTCTTATAATCCTACTCATTATTAAATAACAGTAATTCTTTTTGGGGGGGGGTCTTTTTTGAGACAGGGTCTCCCTGTAGCCCCAGCTGTCCTCGAACTCACAAAGATCCACCTGCCTCTGCCTCCCAAGTGCTGGGATTAAAAGTGTGTGCCACCATGCCCGGCAATAACAGTAATTCTTAACATAGCCAGTACTTCTTGAAGTTCAACTTCACCCTACACAGACTTAATCAGAAACTATAGGGGTGGCACCAGTACTCCAAAGTTTAGCATGACCTCCGAAGTTTAATGATGCTGATTTACCCTAAAATTTCAGAACTGTTGCTGCAAAATAAATTCACTATCCTACACTAAATTTTATTTAAATGTTATCATTTTAATGCTGACAATAAGTAGAATTGGCAGGTCTATAATGAATACTCAAGTTAGGTTCATGTAGTTCAGAAATGTTTTTCTTCCAAAAATAGCACCAAGATAGAATGAATATAAATTACTTAAAAGCTAAAAGTTTCATTACGATGCTTGAAAATACTAAATACCATTATTTGTCACCATTAGGAGAAAAATATAATCTTTCCAAACTCCTGATGAAACTTTATTGGCTGTAAATAAATAAATATATTTCATGAGAGGGGATAGAGAGTTGACCCAGCAGTTAAGAGCATTGGCTGCTCTTTCACAGGACCTGGGTTCAATTCCCAGCACCTACTTGGCAGCTAACAACCATTTGTAACTCCAGTTACAGGGGATCCAAGGCCCTCTTCTGACCTCTGTGGGCACTGCACAACATGGGTGCGCTTATATGCAGACATAACACTCATATACATAAAATAAAAATAATAAATAATTTCATGAGGACTAAATAAAAATTAATAGTTATTTGAATTCATGTTGTATTAAACTATCAATAGTCCTTATATGACAAACTACTACCAAGATATAAGCGGTTATAAACCATTTTAGGTAAATGACTGTTCTGTATGGTAATACACAATGTTAAGGAAAGAAAGGGCCAAAAAAAAAAAAAAAAAACAGAATGAAAAGGGCATCTGCATGACTGGCTATCAAACCAGTGGACATGTTACTTGTTAATACAACTCAAATTCTTCTATATATGTACATGATAATCAGGGATATTATAAAGTTAAATTAGGTTAACCTCCAGTATCTTTTTTTTTTTTTTTTTTTGAGATAGGGTCGCTCTGTAGTACCAGCTGGCATGGAACTCACCTTATAGACCAGACTCACCTCAGTCTCTCAAAGATTCTCCTCCCTCTGCCTCCCGAGTGCCCTTCAGTATCTTAGTAGCTTTTAAAATGCCTGGCACAATGTCTAGTACAAAGCAATCAATACCATATTTGGTTATTTAAAAAACTTTTATTTCCCTACTATTTTGTGTCAAAATGGTAATAAGTGATAATTTTTTCCTCAATATTTTTAAGTGGAAAAATTAGGACACTGCCACAAACTTACTGAAAATGTTGCGATCCTGTAAAATCTAAGTCTCATTTATTTAGATAAGGGAGGGGGGACTAAAAACTCAAAGAATCCAAAATCAGTGAATGTTTGTAAAAACACATACACACGTGCACATGCATGCACATGTATGCGCCTCGTGTTTGCAGGTGCCTACAGGGGCCAGAAGAGGGCATGAGAACTCTTGGAGCTGGAGCTGGTGGCTATGAGTCATCTGATGCAGGCACTGGGAAACAATCAAACTCAGGTCTTCTGAAGAGTAGCCAAGTGCTCTTATGCGCTGAGACATCTCTGCAGACCCAATGCTTAGGTTTTTAAAATTTTGTGTATTCCGCTTGGGCCCAGTGGTATACCCCTGTAACCCAGCAGTGTGGACACTGAGGTAGGAGTACTAAGAGTTCCAGGATAGCACTTAGGCCGCACAGGGAGACATCATCTCAAAGAATGAAACTGAACAGACAAATTCATATAGTTCCATCTCAAAACCAGAGAAATGTCAAGAAATGCAGATTTTGATGGTCTCTGGCAAATGTATATACTTATATTACAACCACAAAAATTAAGACTTGTTTCATCATCCCCCAAACTTACCATACAGTGTTCCTTTTGGAGTTAGCGCCTCCTCTCTGAAGTCCCTAGACCCAAGCAATGGGTCTGAATGTCTAACATTTGACACTACTATACCCGCCCCCCCTACACACACAGACTCTCTCTCTCTCTCTCTCTCTCTCTCTCTCCGCCCCCCAGTATTGCTGAAGCCTGAGCTGGCCTGGAACTTACTATGTATGCCAGGAGAGCCTCCACAGAGATCCGCCTGCCTCAGACTCCCTGAGTGCTGGAATTACAGGCTTGTGCCACTATGCCCAGCTGCTTACCACACTATCTTGATTACCAGTTTTACAGAAATTCCTGAAGTCAGGTACTTATTTGGGAAAACTTCACATCTTGACAAAATTTCTCTCAGCAATGTTCTATAGTTTTCAGCATAATGGCTTTATATACATTTGATAAATTAATCCTTAAACACTCTATAACTTTTGGTGGGGGGCAACTAAGCCTTATTATATATTGCAATGTTGCAGTTGAACTCCTCTGCTCAAGCAAACCTCCTGCCTCAGTCTCCTGAAAAGCTAACACTAGAGGTGTGCACCAACATACCTGGCTCTAGTATGGGATAATTTTTAATAGATCTTAAAGTAACATTAATAATTTAAAAGTATACAAAAATATAACTGATTTGGGTATACTGCCATTATACACTGTGATCTTGCCAATTCTTTACTATTCTCTACATCAGTTTTTGTTTTTTTCTGAGACTAAATGCCTATTTCTAGCTTTTGTTTTTTTTCTAGCTTTAATCAACTAGCTAGCTCTTTCTGTGCAATATTGAATAAAAGAAATGAGATTTGCCAACCTTGCCTTGTTCCTACTTTTGAAAGATAACTCCTGGGTTTTGGGTTTTTTTTTTTGTTTTTGTTTTTGGTCTTTTTTAAAAAAAATACTTTACTTATTATTTCTATTTTATGTGTATGCATGTATTGTCTGAATGTAAGTGTACCTGTGCCATGCAATGCCCACAGAGAACAGAAGAGGCTGCCGGATCCCCTGGAACTAACTGGAGTACTGGGATTTGAACCTGGGTCTTCTGTAAGAAAAGGCAGTGTCCTTAACTACTGAGCCATCTTTTCATTAAGTAGAATGTCAACTGTAGCTTTATATGTTCATCAGGTAAAAACAGTTTCCTTGGGCATCTGGGTTACTGACAATTTTTATTATGAAAACAAGGTGGATTTTGAGGGGTGAAGAGAGTTGAGACAGAGTTTAACTTTATAGCTCAGGTTGGTCTACAACATGTAATCTTTCTTCCTGCCTCAGCCTTTGGAGTGCTTAGTCTGGTGCTACAAGGATGTACCACTACCAAGATCAGCAAGAAGATGAATTCTTCTGAATGTCTGTTGACAATCTATTAAGATGAACAGAGATATTTCTCTTTTATTCTATTAATATAGAGTATATATGGATTAATTTCCAAAACTAAGTGAGATAACTTCACATATATCAGGTTGGCCATTATATTAAAAAATTAATAAGGGACTTGGAAGATGGCTCACTGGTATACTACTTACTGCAGAAACATGAGGAGCTGAGTTTGGATCTCTAGCACACATGTTATTATGCCTTTACTCCCAGCATTCAGAAAGTAGAGGCAGGCAGATCTCTAAGAGACTGAGGCCAGCCTGGTCTACATAGTAAGTTCTAGGCCACCCGAGGCTATAGGAACATCCTGTCTCAAAAAAAAGCTAGGTGTCAAAGGACTCATTCTATTGCAAAGATACTTGGTATATCCATGCTTGTTGCTGCTCTCTGGTAATAGCTAGAAATGGAAGCAACCTAAGTGCCCCTCAACTGATGAGTGAATAATGAAAATGTGGTACATTTACACAATTTCAGTAGTAAAGACAAAAAACATGAAATTTTCAGGATGGAATGGATGGAACTAGAAACTGTTATACTAAGTGAAATAACACAGACTCAGAAAAACAATGTATGTTCTCCCCCATCTAGCACCTAATCCTTCTATGTGAGTATGTATCCTGATGTAACGGCAGGAACCAGGAAATGGTAGGGAACCAGGAAGGTAAAGGGAAAGAAGGAACTCAAGAAAGAAGAACAGTAGGAGATAGCTGTTACTAAGGGAGAA